AATGAAATGTGCAGTGCATATATATGTAGAGCATAAAGGTGAACACAATGCAGTAGTATCTGAACCAGGTAATGATGTTGGTGGTGTTGACAATGTTGAAGTAGATAGTGTTGGTCGTTTGGAACAAGTTGAACTAGGTATTGAAGTAGACGATGATGTTGGTGTTGAGGAGAATATTGAAGTAGATAATGTTGGTAGTGTGAAGCAAGATGAAGTAGGTAATGATGTTGGTGGTGTGGAGAATGTTGAAGTTGATAATGTTGGTGGTGTGGAGCAAGATGAAGTAAGTAATGATGTTGGTGGTGTTAAGCTTGTTGAAGTAGATAATGTTGGTGGTGTGGAGCAAGTTGAGCAAGATGAAGAATCTAGTGTAGGTGAAGTTCAACAAGTTGAAGTAAATAAGGGTAGTGAGAATAGTGAGGATAATGACTTTGTATGCGATGGTTTGTCATTTGATAATACTGAGGATGATAGGGCTCTTGGGTTGGATGATTGTTTTGATGTTGTTGAAAATTAACATGAAGATAATGGTAAAAGAGGTAGGATAAAAGTTGCAGCAAGGAATCACAAGAACACTCCAAAGAAAGTACTAATTGGTGTTGATAATGCAGGGTCAGCAAGTGGTGTGGTTAATGAGATGGACATCAACTATGTCAGTGATGAACTTGGTAGTAGTTACTTGATGCTTCTGATGGAGAAAAGGAACCAAAATATCCAAGGTTTAAGATGTGGGAGTTGGACAAGAATTACAAGTTCAAAGTGGGATTAGAGTTTGTATCACTTGAAGAATTTGAGGAGGCAATAACTGAATGGCTAGTATTGAATGGTAGATAGATAAAGTTTGTGAAAAATGACAAAGTTAGAGTAAGAGTAATTTGCAAGGGAAAATGTGGTTTTTAGCACTTGTAAGTAAAGTTGGGAATAAACATACGTATATAATGAAGAAATGGATTGGAACACACACGTGTGGTAGGGTACTAAATAATAGCTCTGCCACTTCCAAATGGGTTGCTAAAACTGTGGCTGTTAAAATGGATTCTTCAAATGGTGTTAAGATTTGAGATATTGTGACTGAGATTAGGAGTAACTTTTCAGTTGATATAACTATGAGCAGAGCATGAAAGACAAAAAAAATTGCAAAAGCTTTGGTAAAAGGTGATGCACTGAAATAATACAATCTTTTATGGAGATATTCTGTAGAGCTAATGAGAGTCAATGTTGGGAATACTTACAAAATTAATCTGACAAAGGTTGGGCCATAAATACAACCAAGGTTTGACAACTTTTATTTTTTCTTAGATGGGCTTAAAAAGGGATTCACAACCTCTTGTTAGTCATTAATTGGTGTTGATGGATGTCATCTCAATACAAAGTATGGAGGGACACTCCTCGTTGTAGTTGGTAGAGATCCAAATGATCAATATTATCCCATTGCCTTTGGTTTATGTGAAACTGAAACAAAAGAGTCATAGAGGTGGTTCCTAACATTGCTTCTGGAAGACATTGGTCAAGATAAGAGATGGGTTTTCATATCTGACCAACAAAAGGTACTTGTTATGTTTTTTGGATCTAATCCCTAATTATGTTCATTTTTTTTGGATTTCATCCCTGATTATGTTCATTTTATTGGATTTCATCTCTAACCATGTTAAGTTTTTTTTTGTATTTCATCCCTAAATTTGCAAGGTTTGATACTAGTGTTTGAAGAGTTGTTTGAGAGGGTGGAACATATACTTTATCTTAGGCATTTAAATGCCAATTTTAAAAAGAAGTTTGGTGGAGGTACACAAATTAGAGACCTGATGATGGCAACTGCCAAAGCCACATATATCCAAGCATGAGAGGCTAAAATGAAAGAGATGAAGAAGCTTAATGTGAAGGCTTAGGAATGGCTGTCAGACATACCTACCAAAGCATGGTTTAAGCATGCATTTTCTTATTATCCTATATTTGGAGTTCTAATGAGTAATGTATCTAAGGCTTTTAATAGCACTATCTTAATTGCAAGGGATAAACCAATATTAACTATGTGTGAATGGATAAGAAACTATATCATGAATAGGAATGCAAGCTTAAGAGAAAGGGTTGATAGATGAAATCATAGGATAATGCCTATACCTAGACTCAGGTTGGATAAGGAAGTGGAACATGCAGGGAATTGGATTCCTAATTGGTCTGATGATACATTATGGCAAGTGGAACATACACATACCAGGAATAGTTTCATTGTGGATACTTCAAAGAAAACTTCCACATGTAATTTTTGGGAACTTGTAGACATTCCTTGTAGACATGCAGTAGTTGCATTAGGTTTTAGGAACCAATGCCCAAATGATTGTGTTGATGAATGTTATTCTAAGGAGACTTATGAGAAATACTATAGTTTTAGTGTAAGTTCTATTAATGGCCAAGACATGTGGCCAGAGGTTGACATGGAAGAGATGTTGCCTCCAGCCTATAAAAAAGGACTTGGCAGACCAAAGAAGTTGAGGAGGAGGGAACCTGATGAGGACCCTAATATAGTAAGAACACAAACCACTTATTGTTGCACTAGATATGATGTACATGGCTATAATGCAAGAAGCTGTACTAGTCAAGTGGTTGACCCTGAAGCTAAAAAAATGCAAGGTATTGAATTTGCTATAACTTTGCATATCTTACTATTGTCATTGGTAATTTCAATTACTTGACTATGATTTGTTTATCTAGAGAAAGCCAAAGAAGACTGCACCAGGACAAGGAAAAGGACAAGGACATAATCAAACTTAAGCTGCATCAGTTTAAGGACAAGGCGAGACTCAAACTACTGAGACTCAAGTTAAGACTCAAATTGAAGTTGACCTTGAGTTTGAAATGCTTGCTGCAAATCATGCAGCAACATTTGAGGCAACTCAAACAAAACCTAATCTTATTGTTACTAAACCTGTTGCATCATCTGCATAAAATGAACCTGTTACATCATCTGAACCTGTTGCAACTTCACAAACTGTTACATCATCTGAACCTGTTGCAACTTCACAACCTGTTACATCATCTGAACCTGTTGCAACTTCATAACATGTTACATCATCTGAACCTATTGAAATTTCACAACCTGTTACATCATCTGAACATGTTGCAACTTCACAAACTCAAGATATACCTAACTATATTTTGAGTGCACCTGTAGTATCATCTGACAATGTGTTTACTGCATCTGTGCCTACTACTTTAAAGGTTCTTAAAACAGTTGAGTATATTGTACCACTTCCTAATAATTTGATATAATTCTATTGGTGTATAACAACTATAATCTTAACCTTATATTTTACAGAAGAAGAAGAAGATGAAGACAAACAAACCATAAGTTGCAAGGAAATTGGAGTTGAGGAAAAATGATAGAACAAGGGTCCTAAGGTGCAAAAACCTGAAAGGGGAAGAAAGTAATTCATCACAGCCTATAGATGTGGATAAGGATCTATAAGCACGTTGTCATGGTGTATTATGATGCCTTTTGGATATGTTTGTTGTGTCTTTATCATATTGTTAGACATAAGTCTATAACCTTTGACTTTATTTACTTTTGAGACACATCACACCATTATGTTTGTGTTTAGGTTTGAATTTGCTGTAATATGTAACAAATTTATATGCCTTTTGGCTATATGTAATTATGAGACATATTTTAGTTTATGTATGTTGTGTTTTTTTTCTATATTTTGGGATCACTTTTTATGTCTTAATGTTATACAATATTAACTAAAAGATTGTAAAACAGGGATGACATACAAATAAATCATGAACAACCAATGGTGTAATACAATCATTTCAATAAGGAAGAAGGATGCAAAACAATAAGTAACAAACATTTAGGGATTGAAATAAAAAAATAACATCACTTCTGATTCAAAATATGATGTAGCATTACAATGGCGCATTTCAACAACCAATATTCTAATAGGGACTAAAATAAATAAAAAAACAAATTACAGACTCCATGAATCACTACCATTCCTGGTAGGCAAAATAGAGACACCATGAAAGAGTCAACAAAAGCTTCAACAGTCTGCCATTCTTCCTTTCGTTTTCCAACTTCATTTCCATATTCTCTTTTTTCCTAACTTCAAGACCTTTAATGATGCACCCTAATTTCTGAACTACCTTTGAGCAATTGTATCCAATTGAATTTTTGTGTTCACTTGATGTGCTGCGTTTAAGTTCATCATTCCAGATGAAAAGCTTGCAACCTAATCCCAAATTTGAACACCCGAATTTTCTTTTAGGATTTTCAGTTGAGTTTTAAATTAACATTCTCATAGCTTTATTGCAACCACAAAATAGAATTTCAGACTCAACAAAATTCCCAACAGAAGATGTTGCCATGATTAATTCTTGATAAAATTTTGAAGTTTTTGAGAGGAAGAGGAGACAAAGAAGAAGAATTGGAATAATGCAAAATGTATTTTTTTTGGATTACATCCTCCTTTTCAAGGCCCTTCCACATGCACTTTCATGCGTGCATCACATACAAATGAAACACACACATAAGTAAATTCTACATATGCACCGTTTATACAATCTGCGTTTTTTTTATCAGAAGACTAACGTCAGAAACTAAATGTAACACAAAATTGAATTATAAGAACTTAGACAAAAAAAACAATACAAAGACTAAATTCAAAATATCACAAACTTATAAGGACAAGTAGACTATTTAAGTCTAATAAAATTTAAAGAGTTATTGTAAATTTTGCTAAATATTAAAATTATAAATAAAACCGCCACAATAATCTCTAATCTGTAATAGTTTGAATCATAAATAAAAACGCGTATAAAAAAACAAATCAAAGGCGTGAAGAAGAAGAAGAAAACGATGACAGTTAGTTCCGCTCAATTTGTCTCTTTCGAATTCGATTCTTTTCTCAATATTTATTTCCCATCGTAGTTCCAACCTTCACATCGTTCATTCCTTTCTTTCAGAACCAAGGGTTTCCATTTTGATTCCACACCGAGTTCCGAACATGGCCGAATCGGTCGAGCTTCCGAGTCGCTTGGCGATCCTTCCTTTCAGAAACAAGGTCCTCTTACCTGGTGCTATCATCAGAATCCGTTGCACTTCCCCTAGCAGGTGCTTTTTTTCTTTGATTGCTGATGATTGTTTTTGTTTGTTTGATTAGAATTTCTACTTTCTGAGCTTTGATTCGTTCGCTTTAGATGTTTCGTAGTTTTTTTTTAATGGTTTTCTTTTGCATATTATGGTTAATTTGTTGAAGTTTTTGAAGTTGTGTTTTCATAGTTGACTCTAAGAATAGAAGCACTTTAAGTTTTTAGTTTTTATTTGTTTGAATTTCTACACCAAGTAAGATGAGAAATTGAGAATACTGTAATAGTTTTTGATAAATGGTACTATTAGTAGTATTTTAGTTATGTTTAATGCAATTTTCATTTTTTCAGCCTTTATAATGCTATCAATTCTTTCTTTTAATCTAAGATTTGTGATTAAAAGTTGTTTGATTTCTGTATTTTTCATCAAGCAATATGTGTGATTGTTTCCTTTGTTAAATGAAGTGTGAAGTTGGTGGAACAAGAACTTTGGCAGAAAGAAGAGAAAGGGTTGATTGGAATCCTGCCTGTACGCGATGGTCTTGAAATTAAGTCAGCGGGTCCCACAGCATCTCAAGGTGATAAACTGAATTTTTACCCTTTTCGTCCTCGCCAATTGTTTTAAATGAAAGAGGGAGGTGAAATAACCCTCTTCTTATTTGTAATTAACGTTTTCCTGTGCTGGTGGTGCTAATAAGTGTCGAGTGACAGTCGTGTTGTGGTAGAAGGAGTAAGGCATCTGTGGCAATGGTGGTAGGAAGAGTAAGCCATATGTGGTAATGGTGGAAAGTACCGATGGCAGTGGAAGGCATCGTGCTGTTGCGGCAAAGATGAAGGGTTTCAAATGGTGATAGTGATGGTGGTGTATGTCAAATGGTAGTGGCAATACTGGGGGTACCCGGGAAGCAGTGGCAGGGGGTGGTGGAGGGTGCTAAGTTGCTTGGCGTAGTGGTGGTGAAGTTGTCTAGTGTCAAATGCAATGCTAGGAGGAGGTGGCTATGGTGGAAGGTATGTAGTGGTTGTAGAGGGTGCCATGACACGACACGATGGCAATGGTGAAGGGTGCCTGGCGGTGATGGCGTTAGTAGTGGGTGGTGATACTTTAAGGTGGCAGTGAAAACTGAAAGCTGCCTGATGACGGTGGTGGAACTGGAGGGTGTTTTGTTGTGGTGGTGTATGTGAGGCGGAGGATATTTTTCGATTTCTGAACATAAGTTAGGTCATTTTAATTAGTATATTTAAAATATTTTAAACCTATTTCCCTCTGCTGTACACCCCCATTATCTGAATGAGTAAAGTTTAAGGAAGGATACATTTTTTCCCTCTTCATTTCTCTTTCTCGCCTCTTAAATTTTAGACCAAATAAAAAAAGTTCATAAAAGTCTCTACAATCCTGTTTGTTTTTCTTTGAACCAAATACTATATGAAAACTGATTTCAAAATGCATTTTTGCTATTCCTCTTTGCAGGTGCAGGAGCCAATATTCCAGAGCAAAGTTCAAAACTTCAGGACGGTTCATCAGATTCTCTCAAGCCTGATACCAAAAAGCAGAATGACGTTGTTCATTGGCACAACAGGTATAGATCAAGTGAACACCTTTCCTGTCACTTTAAGAATCTCAAATCATGTTGTTTGCTGATAAAGTGGTAAATTCTAACAGTTTGTCGTAAATTTAAAATGTATGAAGTTGTATAGGTCAAGTTGTTTCCCCCCTTTCCTGGTGCATTATTTAGTTTGTTGTCCTCTTTTATTTTGGACGGGTGTGTGTTGGAGGGGGGAGGGGTTCTAACTGATAGTTTCTTTATATTTCTACTTTCAGATTTGCATAATTAAAAAGGCCAAATAATTTTTGTAATGTTGTAGAGTGAATCACATATTTATCTTGTGACATTTTGGAAAGTAAAACCTACAAATTGAGGTCGATTTTAATGTAACATTAAATCCAGGGGGGTTGCTGCCCGACCATTACATTTATCAAGGGGAGTGGAGAAACCAAGTGGAAGGGTCACATATACCGTTGTTCTTGAAGGTTTGTGTAGATTTAGTGTCCTGGAACTAAGCACAAGAGGAATATACCAGACTGCAAAGATATCTTCCCTTGAGATGACCATGACTGGTATGTCATTCATCTTTTTCCCAGACATTGTATTTTGTATCGAAATTGTATTCTTATACCCTTTCAGTTTTCTTTGTAACGAATTAAAACAACAGAAGTTTGATAAGACTTCAGAGTTATCGCATTTGGCAGTTGATTACTTGATATCAATACGCTTCTCCCTAGGGTTTGATTATTTTGCAATAAACATTTGCCTTACCATGTGAGGACCCATGCCTTCCACACACAGTTCAATTCCAAAACATTAAGTTTTTGTTTTCTTGGTATGAATGCATAGATCTTTAAGTATAAGGCATAAGCACCGCTGGTAATTAGGAACCTATCCTAGATCTGGGATTATGTCATAGAACGTAGTTAGTTTGATATGATGCTCTGAGATATGTATTAAGTTTCGTAAAATGCAGTGCATTTCCTATTGAAAATATGTCAAAGACAGATAATGATAGTAAAGTTAATTGTTTTAATTACATACCTTCTAACTGATAAGGGGTACGCTAGTTTCCTAGGTCTTGAAATAGTTTATTATTCTATTTTTATTGATTTCAAGTTAACATTTTAGCACCATGATAGAAGGGAAACAATTATTTTGGGCATTTCCCTAATGATTTAATCACTAATGAGATTTGATCACTATCTTTGAAGATGCTGAGTTGCTTCTGTTTTTCTAATCTATAGAGATGGAACAAATAGAGCAAGACCCAGATTACATAATGTTGTCTCGCCAATTCAAAGCAACAGCAACGGAGCTTATTTCTGTTCTGGAGCTGGTAAAACCTTGTAACTTCCACACTTCTATTAAAATTATCTGAGAAACATGGAAATTCTGTTTGAGCATTGAGCTTTAAATCCCCCATGTTCTTCTATAATTGGTTGAATAAGATCATTATAGTCCATGTTTGTATGAAATATTTTGAACATGGACTTTAAAGTCTCTATTGGGGCTTCTATATTTACATCTCTGATAGTGTCCGCATAGTCTTGTAACTGATATGGAATTTTTTGCTATAGGTATACACTATCAATTATACAATTTTGGGCATGTCATGTTTTCTGTATTGCATTTGTATTAGGAGCTTACATTTTATTGCTTATGTACAGAAACAAAAAACCGGTGGAAGAACCAAAGTCCTTTTGGACAACGTTCCTGTTCACAAGTTAGCTGATATATTTGTTGCAAGTTTTGAGATAAGTTTTGAAGAACAACTATCTATGTTGGATTCAGTTGGCCCTAAATTAAGGCTTTCAAAAGCAACTGAATTAGTTGATAGGCATTTACAGGTTAGTCGTCAATGATGCTTGTCATGAGTCTAGTGATGCATTATCTGTTTCTAATTCTACCTATGCCTGTCTATTTTCAATAGTCAATACGTGTAGCTGAGAAAATTACACAGAAGGTTGAAGGTCAATTGTCAAAATCTCAAAAAGAGTTTCTTCTGCGTCAGCAGGTAAGGTTTCTCGCTCCATCTTTTTTATACCTATTTGTCAAATGTTAGCACAAGGGTCTGGAAACTGTATTGATAAGCCTTACTGAAGTCAGTTATGTTTGATGCCAAGGTTTTTGATGACCATTATGATGGCATGATGACCAAAATCTCAGACTTAAATGAAATCCACACCGAGTACACACACGCAAATTTTGCAGATGAACTTCCCTACCGGCGGCCTTAGAGCCAATGCACGCCTTTAAGAAAACAGTTCTCAGCCTTACACAAAAGAAAAACAACGTGCACCAAAAACTGTCACAAGTTCTCCTTATAACTACACATAATCAAATAACTACTACATAACTGTCCTACCTTACATCTGCCGCTATGACTAAATTCAATTCTGCCTTGTTATTTTCTTATTTTTCCTCAAGTAGACAAGACACATTTTAGGCATGTTTTCTGCATACTCCAGAACCGGACTTACATTTTGAGCTCTAACAAATTCCTTCTGACTGAGCTGTATACCTTATCCTAGCCCCAGCAGACACTTCCCCCAATGCATTAGGATTTCATTTTCAATTTTTCATATGTACAGTTCTATATATCACTATTTATGTGATACTAGGTAGCACCTTGGCGTGACTGATAAACCGTAACTTTGCATTTATATTTTATAGTCTGATATCATAGTTTATTTATGGATAGAGTTTTTGTAACATGATCAGTGTGTGTGCTGCTTAAGTGGCCACTGCTGTACCTTCTGCTCTTACTGAAAATGATGGTTTGCGGCTTTACGAGCACAACATTAAAATTTTCTTAGTCTTATAGCCACCGGTTGTAGTTAGACTTAGATGGTTCTGATATACAACATTTAGCTACTAGGTTATTACTCCCTCCGTCTCATAAAAAGTGTTTCATTTGCACTTTTTCTCTGTCTCAAAATAATTGTCCCTTTACAATTCCAATGTAGCATTTATTACTATTTTTCCACTACTATACCCCTATTTATTAACTTTCACCTTATTCAACAACTCTATTAACTATAATTAATAAGGGTATTCTAGTAAATGATATTAATTTTATCATTAAAATCAACCCATCTAATCATTTTCTTAAGAACCGCGCATTAGTCAAATAAAACACTTTTTATGAGACGCAGGGAGTATTGAAGTTTTCTCCAAGGAGAGAAATGGAAGGTAGTATTAAGCGTTTCTGCTTTGCTTCATGGCTGTAGTATGCTGATAAAATAGCAATATATTATACCAATGATTTAAGGAGTCTTGGTCAAAATTTCAGCAGAGGAGCATTTTACTGCTTTTTTTATCTAGTTAGGGTTTGTACTTTTTATCTTATTGAGATGTTCTTGTTTTCTATTTTTTCTAAATAATATTTTAGATGAGGGCTATAAAAGAAGAACTTGGTGACAATGAGGATGATGAGGATGACTTGGTTGCGCTTGAAAGAAAGATGCAGAGTGCAGGAATGCCACCAAATGTATGGAAACTTGCACACAGAGAGTTGAGGTACTTTTTAATAGAAACGTAATGTAATACGGTAATGATTGATCTTTGTGAGGTATTGCTTGCTATATATGTTGAATGAATAAATTGACGAGAAAACAAATATTGTCATCGTCAAAGTGATTTTACAACCTTGTATTGACAATCAGTTCATTTTACTATAATTATTCTCTCAGGAGGCTTAAAAAAATGCAGCCTCAGCAACCTGGGTACAACAGCTCGCGTGTTTACCTAGATCTTCTTGCTGATCTGCCCTGGCAGAAGGCCAGTGAAGAGAATGAACTAGACTTAAGAGCTGCACAAAAGCGACTGGACAGTGATCACTATGGTTTAGTGAAGGTCAAGCAACGGATTATTGAATACCTGGCAGTTCGCAAGGTTGTCAAATACTCTATTACTATGCCTGTCAATATCTACTCGATTGTATAGTTTGATGTATTTCTAATTAAGTGTATGTATGCATCACAGCTTAAACCAGATGCAAGGGGTCCAGTGTTGTGCTTTGTTGGACCACCAGGTGTTGGGAAAACATCACTTGCATCTTCTATTGCTGCTGCTTTGGGCAGAAAGTTTATTCGCATATCCCTTGGTGGAGTCAAGGATGAGGCCGATATTAGAGGACATAGGAGAACATACGTTGGAAGCATGCCTGGGCGGCTTATAGATGGATTAAAGGTTAAATTACACTTTATAAATTTTGATAATTGCATGTAATACTGTGATATGTATGACATTTGCAAACAAATGTGACAAGTTATGATAGCTTTAGATTATTTTAATACACGGAATGATTGCACTTGTTTTTTTTTTTTTTTGCCATTTGGTTTTGTTCTACTGAATGAAACTAGAGCTAGTCAATGTTGGGAACATGGAGAGAAATTTTAAATTCCAAATGTTCGTACAACTGTATATGGAAATTACTGATTCAATTAAACGATCCCTAGAAGAATGTTCAATAATTTTTTGATTGGGACATTAGATGTGTGTTGTTCGGAATAAAAATGCATCAATGCAGATTTGGTGCATATGACTGGAGTGCTAGACCATATATTTCTTTCATTGAATTCTCAAATGAAGCAATGTTTTTTAATGATAAACTTTATTGAAATAATTAAGTGTTAGGCATGCACAACATAGTATATGGATTGTGAGTATAGCAAAAGACATACAAATTCTAACTTAAATATGAAACTTAAAGATCACACAATACCAAAAGTCTCATATTTTATGTATCTTTGATCTCATAGAACACATTGAGGAGATAGAGGGAGATGTCGGCCATAGGATCCAAAGGTGGTTAAAATGGAATACTCTGGATGTGATATGCATAGTGAAGTTACACTCAAACATATAGAAATACTATACGGCCGTTTTACTAAGACCTGCAATGCTGCATTAAAATAAATATTGGGCTGCATAGAAACAAGAACATAAATTCAGTGTTGCAGAGATGAGCATGTAACAATGGATGAGTGGTTGATCAAGACAAGGTAGGATTATGAACACATTCATTTGAGAGAAAATTGGGGTAACTTTCATCGTCGAAAACATGATAGAGTTCTATCTTAGGTGATTTAGACATTTATTTATGGAGAAAAGAAGATTTGTAGAAAAATTGGTTTAGTATTCCTGATCAGGACTAAGAAACCAGAGTTCCAAGGAAGCAAGCCACGCTAAATAGTTATATCCATTGACCATTTCCAAGGTGATAGCTAGGGTTCCAGAAACAGAGCAAGAAGGGACATCGATTAAAGTTTTTTTGATTTGACTGAGGGTCTTCTGGTGTCATTTTTGTGTTGCCATTTGCAAAAAAAACTAGTTGCATAGGAAAATTTTCCAAACTGAAAAGGATCAAGGAGAACTACCCAAATGGATTGGGAAGAGCTTGGCGACTCGATTTAGGTGGTCAGTGTGGAGTGAAGTAAAATTGCAAGCCAGTGCATGCGTTACACATTCTGAGAAGGTGGCTGTGAGTGGTGGTAGAGTGCTTTACAATGACAATGCTTGGTGGGCTGGCCGGCTGGTGACTCTATGATGGTTTCTGTTGATGGAAAATGGGCTGGCTGGTAGTGGTAACTTATTTTTTGAAGAGGAAAGAAAAGGGATGCAGGGTTGGAGGATTCTGCTGGACCACATAACGTAAGCTTGGACGGACAGAATAGAAGCATGACCTAATCCCCCTCTGATACCAAGTTGACAGGACCAACCCAACATGTTTAAAGGCCTAATGCAATTTCTATAGTGAGGCTTTTTGAAATAAATAAAAAAATAAGTTTTATAGAGGCCAAGGGTTGAACACAGGTCTAGGAGAATATGAAGTCATTTATAAATAATTTGTCATATTATATATTTATAACTAAATTGAACTTTTTAAGGCCTTATTTTAGCCCAAAAGTTTGAGGCCTAAAGCTCTAGCTTGGGCCTTGGCCCTTTGGCTAGCCATGCAAGTTGAGATACTGAGAATTTAGGCAAACAGATATGTGAAACTTTGAGTGATTAGTATACACTTGCATTAAGTAAATTTTATTCTTATAAGAAAAATAAATGTAAGTGCAACTTTTTGAATGCATGGTTGTTATAAATATAACCATTATTCATTCCAACAACAATAGTAGCTTTCATATGTGAATTCATGTGGTTGAGTTCGTTTGTTCTTTTACGGCCTCATGATATTAAGGTTTGTTTTTTCTGTGTGATTTAGAACAACACAGAGAGAACAAGGAGGCTAACAAGTAGTTTTGATTAGTTAATTCATGTTACAGAGTTTTGTTTGTATATGATCTTATGGTGTATGTTTTATTTCTGTTGTCTAATGTAAAATACTCAATTCATATTTGCTAATATTATTGATTTCTTATAAAGTTAGAGAGTATTATAGATGCACGGATCATTGAACCAAATAATAAAATTTATAAAATTTATTTCTTGCTCTTTCTTTTCAAGGGGGATCTTATTCTTATAGATGTTTCTCACATTTGACCTACAGAGAGTAGCTGTTTGCAATCCTGTTATGTTGCTTGATGAAGTTGACAAGACAGGTTCTGATGTTCGTGGAGATCCAGCTTCAGCATTGCTAGAAGTTCTTGATCCAGAACAAAATAAAACATTTAATGATCAGTATCCTACACAGTTCAAAATGTCTTCTCCCAATTTTTCCCCCTTTCCAATCCCATGTTCTTTTCAATTCGATAATTTGTGTTGATTCTTCTCATGTAGAGTTTTTTCATTGTCTTGTTTTTCATTTTTATATATCCAAACACACACACATACTCACATACCTTTGTTTTATGTAATTGGTTATGTGGTAGCTTTTTCTAATTGGTACACTTTTTCTTTTGCATTTTTACTATCTGGTCGTCTCTTGTCATCCTATGTTAAATTTTCCAGTATATAGAGCTTCTTAGTTTGATATTTATCTAGCTAATGCCTAATGTTATATTTTTGTGCAGACTTCAGTTTTGTGTCTTGTAGATAGAATGAGTCAGTGCTAAATTCTATTTCTTGAAAAATATAGAGGACATGTCACATGGTGTTAATGTTACCAAATCATGTTCATTTTGTGTTGTTTTTCTAATAAGGTCTGCAAATAATGTTCATTTATTTATTATAAAAAGATTCATTCTGAAGTTATTCCTTAAATTTAGCTAGCTATTTGAATGTTCCATTTGATCTGTCCAAGGTAATTTTTGTGGCTACAGCAAATCGGATGCAGCCTATTCCTCCACCACTTCTGGATAGGATGGAAGTGATTGAACTTCCTGGATATACACCTGAGGAAAAGCTCCAAATAGCCATGAGGCATTTGATTCCAAGAGTTTTGGACCAACATGGGTTGAGTTCTGAGTTTATTCAGATTCCAGAGGTATTGACTTTTTATAATTTAAAAGCCGATCCAGAAACATGTTAAGTTTTTGCTCACTCAGCATTCAGTGGAAGTGTTATTTTGGATGCCATATTGACTAAAATAAAACAAACAAATCAATCTGTATTTCATATAAAAAGAAAAACAGAGACAAATGCTGTATTTAATTTTTCATGGTTTAGAGAATGTATGGGTTAAAGAATCAGTGTAATAATTATTCAATATATCATATCTCTATATGTCTGCACAAGTTTTGGAAATATACTGGTTTATATGTTTTAGACATTGTCATATGTTTTTTTTCTCTGCTTTCTTTGTTCTAGACATAAAGTCATTCGTTCTGTTCTGTTTGTACTCCTGGAAAGCAATTTAGTTGTATACATTTCTAATTTAGAACTATTTTGACACAGGCAATGGTGAAACTTGTCATTCAGAGATATACCAGGGAAGCTGGTGTGCGGAATTTGGAGAGGAATCTTGCTGCTCTGGCTCGTGCTGCTGCAGTAAGGGTTGTAAAGCAAGAACAGGTGGTTCCATTAAACAAAGGGATACAAGGACTTTCTACCCCACTTCTAGAAAGTAGACTCTCTGATGGAACTGAAGTTGAAATGGATGTGATACCAATGAGTGTGAATAGTCGGGACATCAACACATTCAGGATTTCCTCTCCATTAGTTGTTGATGAAACCATGCTTGAAAAAGTTCTTGGGGTAATTGATTTGCACTACCATTACTCTGTTCTAATCAAGGTCACTCGTGATCCTGACTATTGTGGGGAATCACAAATAAATGCGCTTGATGCAGCCGCAGTCGTTGCTGCAACGGCCATGAAGTTGCAGCCACATTTTGTGGTCATGGAATTTTTTTAAAACCTTGGTTATAATGCTTTTTTACAGCCTGTGGGATTTCCCTTCATTTTAATATTATCATGAAAGATCCTACATAAGCATAGTTTTCTCAGATGCTCAGCAGGACTGATGCCCTATTTGTTATCAAATGCAGCCTCCAAGATTTGATGATAAAGAAGCTGCAGAACGCGTGGCTTCCCCTGGGGTCTCTGTTGGGCTGGTTTGGACTGCTTTTGGTGGAGAGGTTCAGTTTGTGGAGGCTTCAGCAATGCTAGGGAAGGGTGAACTGCATCTCACTGGACAACTTGGCGATGTAATCAAAGAATCAGCTCAGATTGCACTAACATGGGTAAACAAACATATCTAGTGAACTTCCCTCCCCCATCGCCTTTACAGTTTTGTTTCTTTAGCTTACAGATCAGAGTAGTCATTCTTGGATAGCGGCGCGCAGCGGCTGATCCCAAAAGTAGGATAACAGGATAGCTATAGCTGGATGACCGCTCTATTTGATCATTTTTGGACAAATTACATATAATAATTATAGACGTATATATAATATAAAGTTAAACAAATAACTCAACTCATAAAATATTCATAAATCAAAGCACACATGATTCTTGAAGTGCATAAACGACTATGAAGGAAGGTTAAGGTTGAGTCTCAACTCAAATTTGATTGAAAAACCCAAAAGTACCCTTAAAACATCCTAAATTTAAGGGTTAATTTCGGATTTTGAGGGGAAAAAGATAGCGGGCCAGAAACTGCTCCGGGCTGAAAACTGCTCTGCTCTGTTATTTCGCTATTTACCTTATAGTGGCCGCTATAGTGTTCCGCACCGCAAGGCTCTTCCCATAGTGGCCGGCCCTCTGCTCCACTATACTATAGCAGGATAGTGCCACCATTGACTACTCTGTTGCAGATAAGATAAGCCATTGAAAAAGAGAGAATTAATCTGAATTGCTTTAGTGGCTAAACCCCCAGTCTTGTTGTATTTATAATAGAGTTTACTATCAAGATCCTTAAATTAGAGGGAAAGAATAAAAGCTACAATCAGAAAGATGTAAACATGATATCTACTATCATATCTGGATAATATCTTAACACTCCCACTCAAGCTTGTGCATTGCATATATGCATCAAGTTTGGCCCATAAATAAGATATATGGGGGCCTCTTAGAGACTTGATGAATATATCATCTAACTGATCGAAAGATGTAACAATCTGCCCCCCAAAAAATCTTCTCACGTATAGGAAGAGACGATCGATCTCTATGTGGTTCGTCTGCTCACAAAAGACTGGATTAGTTGCAATATGTAAAGCTTTCTGGTTATCACAAATGAGACTCATCACTCATTGACCCAGACTTGCAAAACTTTCACTCATCAAGAAATTGTTTCAACCAAACAAGTTCACAATGAACAGAAATGATATGCATGTCACCACACATTTGTTGCCATGTTTGTTTGCATTGAACATTTGCCATCCCACTGTTGTATGTGCTCAACTCCTGAATTTGGATCAAGAATCATTACATGTCTTTTTGACTTTAAAGGATTGAATTCATAGGTAAGGGCAAGGGCAACTGATTTTAGGCTGGCTGCTGAAGAGGGATTTAATCTTCTGGAGGGCCGTGATGTACATATTCATTTTCCTGCGGGTGCTGTTCCTAAAGATGGCCCGTCGGCAGGTGTGACTTTAGTCACGTCATTGGTATCTCTTTTCACTCAGAAAAGCGTGAGATCAGATACAGCTATGACTGGAGAGATGACATTGAGGGGATTAGTTCTACCTGTTGGAGGTGTCAAGGACAAGGTAAAGTTCTTATGTCTTCATGATCTGATGGTTAACTTATTGAAATGTGACTATAGACATTATGATAGTATTATCAAAGAAAATAAGGAAAATTCCTTGTTGCAGGGTGAAATCCCAAGGTATTCGGGAGACTGTAAACCCGGTTCTCTAAATCTCTTATTTATACACAACACACCTTATTTTTGTTAACTAACTTAGCCTCTTAACTATCCTCTCAATTAACTAACTTATAAATGCTCCCCCTCCCCCCTAAACATTCACCATGTCCACAAGGCAAAGAGCTATTTAAAAATGGCCATCTGAATATAACCATTTTTGGTTGACAGACTGACAGTGACAGATTAAAAAGGTTAAATTTGTAGGGAGTAGAATAATGTGATTTTTATTTATCTCCCACAGATATTAGCTGCCCATCGGTATGGTATCAAGAGAGTTATCTTGCCTGAAAGGAACCTGAAAGACTTGGTTGAAATACCATCAACAGTACTGGCCAATTTGGAGGTAATTCTGCTTGCAGAACGGTGCTCAGACAGTAATCAACTAAGCACGGTTCCTACATATTCACTTACATATTTTCAAATGTTTCTACATTGTTATGGTGGTAACCGATAATATCTAATCACAGCCGAAGTGAAACATACAATCCTCATTTCCTCTTTGAACTTTGTTAACAGATACTGCCAGCAAATCGGATGGAAGATGTGTTAGAGCATGCTTTTGATGGAGGGTGCCCATGGAGACAACACTCTAAGTTATAGCAGTATTCCTGACTTACAACATGTATTAGCACACCTCTTGTGTTTCCGCCATTAATGGTTTGTATATCATCGATTAAAAGTCGTGAACTCTCTGAATGTCGTTGTGATACTGTGGACCAAGTATATTCAACTGGTCGTTCCTAATCGAACAAATTCCAAGAAATTGACAATCTGGATGGAGCTTACATGTCCATGTATATCCTTAGGACCCACTCTCCACAATTGAAGCCGTTCTTGCAAAATAGTAGGTTATGCAGAGTTAACTTTGCGAGAAAGAAAGAAAGAAGGAAGAAAATAAGTGTTTGTGTTGTGTTGAAACAATTGGGTTTTTTAAGAAGAGTGAAGAAGAGAGAAATAAGAGAGGAAACTATATTGTAAATAAAGATATTTATTGAAGTAAAAATTGCTATCGTACATTGATTTACAATGTTACATGTATAAATAGACAACAAAACATATAATTTACAATCTGCAATATTCGATTATGTTAAATACTTACACACTTCGACACACATGTTACGCAACTATGTCGAATACAATTTTTCTAAAACATTGAATTATATCTTCTAACACACTTCCTAATTCATGTTTTCAAGACTTCTTATTCTAATGATTCTCTTCAACTCATCAATTCTGACATTTTTCATAGGCTTGGTGAGTATGCCAGCTAGTTGCCATTCTAACTTGCAATGCTCAAGTTCATGTTTTCTTTTGTTTATTTGATCTTTAAGGAAATGACACCTTCCTATGTGCTTACTTCGACCATGATACACAATAATTTGCCATGTCAGTAGTTGACTAGTTGTCGAGAAACAACTTCAATTTCTTAAGTTCCATGATCTTATGATCTTAAGCTCTTCGATTAACATTTTTATCCATGCTGCTTGACATGCTGGATATGATGCAACCACATATTCTTCTTAAGTCATAATGCTTTATTTTCTTGAGCTCTAAGAGATTGGAGCACCTCCATTCATGAATATGTAGTCTGTCATACTCTTCTTCTCGTCTTGATCTCCACTAAAATCTGAATCAGTGTAGCTATGTACTCCCGCATCTGTGCTGGTATTCTTTCTCCTTGGAATCGACACACCATGACCAACTATATCTTTTATGTATCTCAACACTCTCTTGACTATAATGGGATGACATTCTTGTGGTTTCTCCATGAATCTGCTCAACAATCTGACACTTTGACAAATATCTGACCTGGTGTTGCATAGATACCTTAAAATCCAATGATTTGCTTGTACAATATTGCCCTTACAAACTCATTATTTGTATCCTTTCTCAATTTTGTTCCAGTATTCAATGGTCTGACAACTGCATTACAATTACTTATCCTGAATCTTTCAAAGATATCTTAGACATACTTCTTCTGGTACAAGAAAACTCATTCACTTGTGTCTTTAAACTCCAACCCTAAGAAATATGATAAGTTCCTTAGGTCGAACATTTCAAATTCCCGCATCAGTTTTGACTTGACCTCTTTTATTTTAGCTTAATCTGCACCTGTATCAACAAATCATCCATATACAAGCATATAATGACTCGACCGAGCCTGCTTGGATTGTTGATATACACTCCATGTTTTGGGACGCATTTTTGTGAAACCTACCTCAATTAAAAAGCTATATATTCTCTTGTTATAAGCCCTTGGGACTTGCTTCAAACCATATAGAGCATTACTCAATTTGTACACCTTCTGCTCTTGCCCTTTGATTTTGAATCCTGGTGGTTGACTGACATAGACCTCTTCTTCAAATGGTCTATTCAGAAATGTTGATTTTACATCTAATTGACGTATCTGTTTACCGTGAAAATTGATAAACAACCGCTGGTCTTCTAAAAATTGGTTTACTTGCAGGATCAACCAATGAATCATAAGGACATAGCTATTGTTTCAATATCTTTTTGGAAAGTTGAAGAACACTTCGACAATATTCATGTTGTAAAAGTTTGTAATAAAGTTTCAGAAAAAGGATAAACTTTGTATAAATTGGTAAAAAAATGCAATGAAGAAAACTTCAAAGTAAAAGTGCAGTAAAGAGATAAATGACAAATGAAAAGTAAATTTCTATTGAAATAAAGATGGTGTTTCAAACGTACATTTATCAATAAAAAACTCTTTTCTCACTTGACTTAGATACTTTAAGTGAATATTTGAGTATTTGTACAATAATGAACACACATAAATTCTAACACTAAGAATCCTATTTATAATAAGTTGAAATAACTGTCCTCAACCGACATTTCTCCAAAAATTGACACGTTTCACTCTGCATGCCTTCATTTCACCACGACTCTTCACACGTCTCTCCTAAGAAACAGATAAGGACAAAAGATAGTTATTTATCTGTATTTTAAATTTCAAAACTTCTGTCGAAGGAAGGCTTCAAACATCTTCTGCCGAAGTTGATTTCCAAACTTAAAAAAATATTTCTAAGTATTGTCCAGACATGTCTCCTTCATGGAAACTTCTTCGACCAAACTTCTCACACAAGTTCCTGTCGAAGTTAGCAAAATTTCAAAAAATTTGATTTTTCACTTAGTGTCTTTAAACAAAAGCCTAGCGTCGAAATTTCCAGCCAATAAATTCCCCCCCCAAAAATGTCATTTTCGACTGAATGGAGAAAAGAACATTTTTTGAAGTTCACATTCGACGCCAGAAACCTTTGATCTTCTATGACGTCACTATCATCATAACACCTTTTTCAAAACGTCTTCTAAAACCCATGCGTGAATCTTTTTCAATTATCACACACCTAGTCCCTAAGAGATCGTGGGTCAGATTTAACTACTACCGTCTCATCACGCAACCTTTGCATGACACGCGTCCCACGATTCTTTTCACCATCAATGCGTACAGTAACCGTCTCCACTTCATCCACCTTTAAATAGCAAAAATCACCATTTTTAAACTTTTCACTCTCTGAACTCTTTTGAGCGCACTTTCTTCAATTCTTCATCTCTTTCAAATCTTTATTTCTCCAAACTCACTCCATCATCAATGGCTTCTACAACCAAGACCTCAAAATATACCAGCAAAAACACTAAGGAGCCTAAGAGATCTAGAGAGCTTGCTCTAGTTCACAAGATTCTGGGTCCCAATATGGTAGGCAACCAACAATACATCCATGAGCCACCTTTTAAAGAAGAGAAGCGCAAGATCTACCAATCCCAGGTATTTATTCCCCTCTATGTTTATGGTAAACCACACGCCATGTTAGGCCCTTTTCCTAAACTTGCTGCTGATCCTGCTAAGGTTAAGGAATTATTTCCTTCTTACCATCGTTATAAACCCATAGCTAGTGGTAAAAAACCTAGGACTAGTGAGGAAATTAAAGTTGATGAAAAACTGAAAGTTGATGGTCAAGGTTCTCCTTCAACTGAGGTATCTAGAGACCCAATTAATATAGAGTACATGAATAATAGTTTTAGGGTATTTAGGTCATGTCCCTTGTTTAAAAACCCCTCTGATTATCTTGCTTGGTTAGAGAAAGTAGAGAAAGCAAAATCCCAAGTCTGGAAAGACATGGGCATCTTCAACATGATTCAGTTGTTGAAGGTGGGACCTGGTTATTACCCATCCATGCTAATTGCTTCCCTATATTTTTGGGATAGTACTCACAACTTCCAACTTCCTTGTGAAATGGTGACTCCCACCTTGTTCGACGTTGCTGCCATCACATGCCTCAAACCTATTGGAGAAGATTATAATCATAACCTCTTAGCTGATGACTCCATAAGTTTCGACATAACCAAGGCAACTTTCACCACTTATATAGCTTACTACCATGATAAAGAAACTGAGGAAGTTTCCGATCAAGAGCATGTTGCATTTCTGGCTCTTTGGCTTTCCCGCTGTGGTTTTTGTTCAAGGTCCCTTCAAGTGGCGAAGATATACTTAAAAATGGCCAATCAACTACATGTTGGACATGATATTTGTCTTAGTGAAATGATTTTAGACAACATTTATGAATCCCTTGGGGAAGGCGTTACAACACTGAAAACAATCAAGTCGAGAGGAAACCTACTTTATTTTGGACCCTTTTGGCTGTTACAACTATGGCTAAATGCCACATTTGAAGCATCTCTCCCTTCTCGTAATCCTAACAACGCATAATCCGTCGAAGTGAAGAACAAAAGGGTTAAAGGTATGAGGATTTCTTTGTTAACTCCCAGCGAAGAAGAACTAAACCTTCAACAAACCTTCACCAGCTATGTGATGATGTTTGCTAAACGCTACAATTTCTTGCCCAATATGGCCCCTTTTGCAGATAGGAAGGTAGGTCCTGAATGGTTCACTAGAAGATTTCCTGCTCAATCGAAAGGACAAGAAGTAAAATCTCTTGATATCTGGGAATCTTTTCTTACACCAAGATTGCTGGCTATAAGACTCAATCCCTCAAAACTTCGATTTACTCTTGTTAGTTACCAACCAAACCTCATTGCTCAACAATTTGGCCTTATCCAAATCAAACCAAAACCACTCTTCCCAAAAAAAGGTTCCTTGATTCATTACAACATGATCCACAATAACGCAGAGTGTACCAAATTGCTGGCTAAATACACTAACCTTGCATAAATCAATCCCATGGCTTTCAAACCATCTTTTCTTTGCACCAAAGAGTTCGACACTTGGTGGAGAGAGTATTATACTGCATAATTTTTTGATGTAGCTGCCTTCAACCTTCATCTAACTCGCACCTTTTCCCTTGTGCAGGAAAAAACAAAGAAAGGTACTTCGATGCATATCAAAGAGATCCAAGCATTCCAAAAGTACGTTGAAATTGCTTACCGACTTGATAACCTTAGTTGAACCATTCGTGAAGCATTAGTTACTTTGAAAGAAAAAGTTACAAAGAAATTAGAGAATTTAAAACTACCTTCGTACGTTAGACCTGATCAACAATACAAGCTAGGTTTTAATTTATATCCTCCAAAATTCCCTCAACTGCCACATGCTGATTTTGGTGTGGCTTTTAGCCCTCCATTTC